ATATATATATATAATGAGTGCTCAGTAGCCCAGCAACCTGTTTCCTCAGTAACAGATATTGCCTTGTTAATCTCAGTGACATTATTCACTCTTTTCACACTGCATTTGAATCAGTACTGAGCCCAGCACACTTTCATTAGAAAGCAGCAGGTGCACACCAGGCTTTATTGGTGCTCCATGTAGTAAGAGAGAAACAATAACATGGTGGACAGCCATGGCAGAAATGACCATTCGCTCCATCAGAGATGCACAGATAATGGGGTCATTTCAGTAACTCAGCATGAGAGACGAGTTGCACTCTCACTCTGCACTCAGCATGATGTTTTCTTTGTTTTACATGTTTTTCATCATCACTACACAAACCTTTTGACCTTTTGTGTGCTTTTGTGATTGACTTTTGTTGCAAGATACTGAGGATTGAAGTGAAGGATGAAGTGAAGAATTTATGCAAGAATTAATCAATACACATCATTCATTGAACACTAAATCTTAATTTTTAACCTCAAGACATCACATGAAGCAAACACATTTATTAACAAAGGTGAGTGCAATGAATTCAATGTTACATAACAGTACAGGATTATTCTCCCAGGCACTCCATGTCTCACACATCTCCACTAATGTGTGCAACATTTGATCATACATATTAGCAGTGCCATTAAAATGGTACTTAGCTAAACTGAGCCTGCATTAGCCGTGAGCACTAGCTAAGAAGTGAAACTTTGATCTAACTCGGTCTCAGGGAGGAAATCTCGGGGCCCTAGAAGGCAGTTTTGCATGCATTTACATCACCAGATGCTAGGTTCACGAAACGGTCGGAAGCCAAACTTCTTGAAGCTGAAGTTTGTTCCCAGAAAGTGTAATATTAGGCCTTGGTGGTCCAAAGATAACGCCTCAGGAAATGTATTCTAGACACATCTGACAAAGATGCCTCTTCTTTGTTTTGCGTTTGGTTGTGATTCTGACATTGAGTGAGAAAGGAACAAACATTTGCTGACAGTCACAAGCGAACAACATGGTGGAGTTTGTTTGCAGCAATCTGATGGCAATAGATTGCTGCAAAAGGTCTGTGCTGGCTTCAGTGTCAGGGTTTGTGGGTCTCCAGGAGTTGATTTCATGAAAAATACATACCTACATATACTGCTTGTGCTTTTCCTGAGGATTTTTCCCCCTCTGCTTGACGACGTCATGTCAGTCTGTCAATATCAAAACACTTTTAACTGTTGTGAGATGTTGTGAAACCCTCAAGAGACGTGTTACTGCAGAAGATTTCAGCTTAATCTCCGAGTGAATATCCAGTGGGAGGTGAGGAACTTTTTTCCCATAGTGTTTAAAGTTACCTGTGAAAAGCAGCACTAAATGTAGCCTCCCTTGACGAATACATCACACGGCTTTTAAATCTTTTATGTGCCCACAGAGCTGTTGATAAAAGCAGCCTGTACATAACAGCCCATATGTGTAGGCTGTGTGCGATCTGGCTAGCATGGCTGTGGCTAACATGGACTGCATTTGACCCTAAAACACACCTTCCATTCCTTCTGAGCGTAGTGATACAGTATGAAAAGAAATGCCTTTTCATTTCTGTTTTTGCTTGTAACTAGCTTGATATATTGATATCCCTCGAATTACGACTTGTTCACATTTGGTTATTTGCCGATGTGCACTTTTGGCCAAAAAAAGAATAAAAATCAGAAAGTGTATGCCAGGTGGTTCAGTGATTATGCTAGTCTTATGTATTCTTGCTTATTTTTATGATGTATTTGTGTTTATATACACCACCATTCAAAAGTTTAGGGTGAGTCCTTTTTTTTTTTGATAGAAAATAATATGTTGATTCAGCAAAGATGCATGCAATTTCTATTGAATTTACAGTAATTTCAAAAGATTTCTATTTCAAATAAATTTCAAATAAATGCTGAACTTTTGAACTTTCACATTTGAACTTTTGAACTTTCACTATTTCCACAAAATGATAACATTGATAATAATAAGAAATGTTTCTTGATCAGCAAATCAGCATATCAGAATGATTTCTGAAGGATCACGTGACACTGAAGACTGGCGTAATGATGCTGAAAATTCAGCTTTGCCATCACAGGAATAAATCACATTTTAAAATATATTCACATAGAAAACAGTTATTTTACTCTATTTATTTATGAAATAAATGTGCGCTAATGGAGCATAAGACACTTCTTTCAAACATTTAAAAAAATTACTCAGCCTAAACTTGGTAGTATTAATTAATTAATTAATTTATGCATGCACACTTTATAAATAAAAGGCTTACAAACTGTATATAAGATGCTTTGTCTCTCAATGTCTGTAATGTTTCCCCCATCCAGTGGTGAACAGTTAATATTATTTGTGTGGAGATCATCATCATCTTGATAGCACATGACAGTGTCATCCCATAAATCATCTACAGTTTAATTGGTGTGCAACTACTGTAAACTAATTTAGTGCAAATCCATCATAATCCAAATTGTTTTCCACATTTGTTTTCCTCAAACATCAGGGAACACTGGATTGCGTTGAGCTATTTTCAGAATAGCAAGTATGCATAGAGTTATATATTTTCATGTGAAACTCTTGCCAGGAAAGCCACTTTGACATTGTTATGCGCTTATTGGATGTTTGGTTGCTAGGTAACCATCTCTTGAAAAAGAAATCTCTGACACTTTCCCTTTATATTGTTCCACTATATATATCTACAGTATATCTAAATAGATAATGGTAAGTTAGAGAATGAGTCGGTGATTCCTAAAACAGTTCTAGCCTTATTTTCTCAGCCTGAGCTGTACGTATACAGCTAACCGTCAGCTTCGAGGCCTGTGGCCAAACAGGTGCTGAATAGAGCACGATAACACATCCTCATCCTGAACCAGAGGCATGTTCAAGTGCAAGCCCTCAACGATGTCCTCAGCTCACTAATTGTGATCTTTTGTCCATCATTGCTTTTGTCAGCAAGTATTAGAATGACATTTTATGGCGAAATAGATGTAATTACAGAGGAGCAAAAAGGGTTGATTTGATCAGACGGTGAGGGCTTATAAACAATGCAGGATTTACGTACTAATCAGGCATGCCAGGTTCTATTGAGATGTTTCTGCCAATTTCACCCTTCAGTGACAAATTATTTACTTACATTTTTTTATGCATGTTTACGTGTGTGTGTGTGTGTGTGTGTGTGTGTGTGTACATACATACACTAGCTTTCAAACGTTTGGGGTCTGTTTTTTATGTTTTTGAGAGTAGTGTTTATACCCATCAAGGCTGTGTTTATTTGATCAAAATACAGTAAAAGTAACATTATGAATATTATTTTAAAATGTATGTTTTCTATGTGAATATATTGTAAAATGTAGTTTAATGAAAAAGCTGAATTTTCAGGAGCCATTACTCCAGTCTTTATTGTCACATGATTCTTCAGTCATTCTAATGTGCTGATTTGGTGATCAGGAAGCTTTTCTTATTATTAGCAATGTTGAAAACAGTACTGCTTAATATTTTTGTGGAAACTCTGATACATTTATTTTTATCAGGATTCTTTGATAAATAGAAAGTTCAAAAGAACAGAAGTGGTGGTTAGTGAGTGGTTATGAACGAATCAATGAAACGCATTTGTCCGTGTTTCACTCCGTCTCGAATCGCGCTCGCGGAAAGCGCTTGAGAAACACTGTCTCTTCCGTGGCTCGGTACGCTTTCAACTCGTTTTTTAGTCTCGAGCAAGACTGTACGACATTCACATTACATGATTTGACTGATTTTTACGTAGAAAGGACGACAGCGCACCGCATTCAAAAGAAATGATCATTCATGTTTTCATAACCGCTGGCCAAATTCAAAAACTAAACTAAAATGAAATCATCTTTGAGAGCAAGGGGGCCCCTACGCATCTTTCGTATTTTGCGTATAGGGAGGTTCGGCTCTGGGCATGATGATAACACCTCTGCGAATATTCGACTGCAAGATTGGTAGTCGAATCAGGCTCCTCCTATCGAAGCATCGGATCTGAAACTGAAACTGAAACTGAAAGAGTGTCAGTAGGAGAGCGAGATACGTACTGTATACGTACTGTTAGCACTGCAAACAGAGCTGTGGGGGGAAAGCGACCTGGCATTTCAATAATGATACCATTTCCACCTGATTCACTGCATTTTGCAATAATCGTGGGTGAGAAGAGAAATATGACTGTAAGACTCCCGAGTCCTCAGTAGCATAACTGAACGTTCACACCCTGAGGCAATCAGGAAACAATGAGATGTGAGGAGAATTTCCTTATTGTCCTCATCAGTGCCAATTAGTTATCTCAATTCCACATCATTGTTTTGCAAATTTACATTTAATCAAAGTGTGTTTCATCCTGTCTAATTTACAAAGCATCATGTTACGACAAAGCCCGCAATTAAAAGATGTTAAGAACAATCATGAACTCGTTTTTATGTTTTGGGACACTGTTTTTGTATTGCAAAAAATCAGTCACCATTTGAATGAAGACTTGAAACTCCAAATACAAGGGTTTAAACTTTTTGTGTGTGGGGGTCATGAAAGTTGCATAGAGCTGAGAGACCTATAAAAGGAAATACTGTATGATAAAACAGACATTCCCTTGGCCGTTCTGTGGTTCTACATAAAACACAACACACACCCCACTCAGATCATTTCAGACTACATAGACGCTCAGCAATCATTTGACCTGTCATCTCGCCGCAGACATCTAAGCATATGCATGAAACAGAAAAAAAGTATGTCTCTGCTGAAATGCTAGTTAGATCTAGCACAAAGAGACGGGAATGTCAGGAAGATGCTTTTAGCCTCAGAGTAACCTGAGTGGAGAGTTTGAGCTGTCAGCTTCAGTCAAGGGATTCGTCAGAGTTCAAGACATCTTTATTTCATTCTTATTTCACATCTCTCGTAACTAGCTCTACCTTCAAGTTCATCAGTGCAAACGTGCGCCGTCCCAATTTTAAACACCTCCTTTGATCTTTTCTCTGCAGACTGTTCCAAGCCCAGTGTCTCCAAGGGCTCCTCAGCCATGAACATGCCCCAGTCATTTGGCACTGCGATGGGTTTCTCTCTATCAGAGACCCTGCCGGTGGCAAAAAAATATAATGCAGTTCAATACAGTGATGACTGAGAAACGTTCCTCAAAACCGTGATGTAACATACTCACATTTGAATGTGATTTTTCTAAAAAATTATCTATGGATAATCAAAGTAAACCAAAGACGATTCAGTCCAGTAAATCTTGAAATATTACTAGCAATATAAGATGTATTGTTACTAGTGCTGTCAAAAGATTAATCGCGATTAATCGCATCCAAAATAAAAGTTTTGTTTACATAATATATGTGTGTGTACTGTGTATATTTATTATGTATATAGAAATACACACACATGCATGTATTCAGAAAAATATGCTATGTTTATATATTAAATATATTTATATATAATATACATTTTATGAATATAAATATATAGGGTACAACGGGGCTAAAGGCCCACCTTAAGAAAAAAATTGCTATTCACTGCGCCTAAAATGTATAATTGCAGAAAAAATATATACGTTGTATTGAACATTAATGGAGCAACAGATTTTGTGTGAAAATAAATCATTCAAAAATAAATATAGGCATTAATTTAGCGATTCTCATTTGCTACTTAAATCTACAACATTTTTTAAAAAATAAAATATTATATCAAGTAAGCACAGAATCAACTTTGCGCTGCTGCGCGCGATCGCGTCAAGGATCAGACAAATAAATACGTGCATCTTGAAAAGCGGATGTTTTGGAAAGTGCTATGCCACGTTTTTGTGTCATCTAGTGGGTTAGATGAAAATAATATCAAATGCGCCTTTTACCCCGGGGCGCCTTTAGCCCCATTGTACCCTACATGTAAATATTTTCAAAATATATACTGTATGTGTTGTAGAATTTTCCTTGTTCAAAATAAATTGCTAAAGAGGTTTTGAAGCCAGTAGACTTTATTGATCAACAACAAAGCCGAGTTACGGTTTGCAAAGGTAACTCCCGAATGTCTTTTCTACACAGATATATATATGCCTGGAGCTGGTTACATAATTCCATATATGTATTGTTGTATTTTTAGACAGGTGTTTCTTACCATATATAGAATGACCAATAGCTGTCATGTATATTTCTAGGTCCATATATGCAGGGTCTTCAAGTTTTAAATAGCTCACTCAGTTCTTTCACTGCAGCTTTTAACCCACAGTTACTACACATAGTATCTTTAAATAATAATTGTAGAATAATGTCGTCTTATCTATAGGCATAATTATATGTATTATATTGAATTAAGATCCCTGAAAATCTTCTACATATGTTTGTGTCCTTATATATACATAATAAATATACGCAGTACACACACATGTATTATGTAAACAAAAACTGTGATTAATCGCGATTAATCATTTGACAGCACTAATTGTTACATTTACTTTATAAAAATAAGTAAAGATTTCATAACAAAAAGACACTGTCATTTTATAATGATACTAAAGGCCTTTTACTTGCTAAAAACGGTAAAAAAAATTTGCACAACAAAAGATTGTGTACAACATGTTTTTAAGCAAAGTTTTGGAAATACATAGTTGTGTTAGACTCCTATACCGTTTTTACTTTTTACATTTTTTTTAACATGTTTTTACATTTTACATTTACATGCATGCATTTGGCAGACACTTTTATCAAAAACAACTTACTGTACATTGCATTCAAGGTATTCATTTAATTACTTAAGGCATTCCTTGGGAATTGAAGCCATTCCCTTACCATTGCTAACGCCATGCTCTACAGTTTAAGCTACACGAATACTGTACATACACTCTTTTACACTTTTACTTAGTTTATATCCAGGTAAACATTAAAAGAGCATTATTATTGTTTTTTACCTTCTGAAATGTGTCTACTTTATGTTAGAACGGATTACCTTGTACCAGCCACCATGGTTCTTGTCAGAGCGAATGCATTCATAATCTGTAATACCCTTAAATCTGTGAGGGTATTATAAATACTTGCCTAAAATCCATCACAAAAGCATGATACCTCCTCTCAAAATGGTAGAATAGCAGAGATTTTGCTTTATTATTTATTGTCCTAAATCTTTCTTTTTCATTAACATAAATTCCTACAATTATCATCTCGCATGTCTCAGTTTACTTCAGTCGTAGAAAATTGTGGTAGTGTAGCTTCAGCAAAATATATATATATATATATATAATACTATGGGACCTCGTCTACATTCTGTATATATATATATATATATATATATATATATATATATTGATGTTTCTGTTGAAAGAATATCTTTAATGCAGTGTTCTTCCATCTGCTGGAAAGATCAGACGGGCTGTGAAATACCCACTGGGACTCTGGTACCCAGATACCTTTGATGGAGTCACCTAGGCACTTCTAAGGTGTTTGAAGGATTATGAATAATTCAGATCTTTACATTTCTCCTGAAACTTAGAGCCCATATGGCATTTAACTGAGTCAGGGTTACGGCTCAGGAGTTCTTCATCTAAATTCTTGTGGGTGGCAGAGACTTGATGCACCATAGCCTGATTAATATCAAATGTTAGCAAGTGTCAGCCTGTTCTCACAGCATGAGAGGTGTAAAACTAAAAGGGGGATGGTTGCAAATGTCACCATGCTTGTTCGTCTCAGGTGCTTGGTGAAAGTGTTGGCTTCTAGTTGTTGATAATGTGTATCTGCCTTCATCTGTGTGTCACTAAAAAGCCCTTAAAAGTTTCTATGCCAAGTCCACACGTCCAAACAAACAGAAGACGAACATGGACCTATTTATTAGTTGATATCTCACGCTTCCACTGAAACCGTGTTGAAGGCCACAGTTCTCTCGACAGCCTCCATTTCTCTCAGATTGAATTGATGCATTTAATGGATGTTTCCTAAAGTGGCACTGAACAGGAATATGAGAGAAGAATGAGCTCTCTGTGGCAAAGGTTACTTTAAAAAGCCACATATGAGGCTTTCAGTAGCTGAAAGGTGGGATGTTTGGCAGCGAGAGTGAACGCTGTGAGATGCCTGAGCGGTTATGACTGTATTGTTGAGGAGGGAGGGGATGATAGCTGGTGATGAAGAAGGGAGAGTGAGTGCTTGGTAACAGGTTTCTTGTCAGCTTAAATGCCTGCGACTGCATTGGTGTGAAGAGTCATCACATAATGGCCCCATTTCCATTTCCCAGAGTAGGTGATTCTTATCAAAAATTCAGTCTCTGAGAGCATAATACGACTTTTATTGAGGAGCTCTTGACTTGTTAAATATTTAAGTTCAAACATCTAAAAATAAAGTATGAAATTGTTCATGTTTACTGTCTTGAAGTTATATTCTGGGTTCAATGCAAGTTAAACTCAGTTGACAGCATTTGTGGCATAATGTTGATTTGAACACAAATATAAATAAATAAATAAATAAAATACAATAGGCTTGTATCTTGTTTTTTTTTTTAAATGAAGATTATAAAAGGCACTTGCAAGTATGTGCCTTTCAAAGGCACAATGGAAGTAAATGGGGCCAGTATTTAGAGGATTTAAAAGCATAAATGTGAAGTTTATAATTTTATAAAAGCACCTACATTTTCATATTTAATCATTTTTGCAGTCATTTTAGGGCTTATGACATTACAATTTTATGGTGATGGAGTTGTAAAATTGGATATACACTACCGTACGAAACTTTGGAGTTTGTAAGATTTTTAAGTTTTATTTTATTTTTTTCTCGAAAAAAGTTCGTTACAGTTTGGTATAAAGTAAAACTGTAATATTATGACATATTATTAAAGTTTTAAAATAACAGTTTTCTATTTAAATAGATTTTAAAATATAATTTATTCCTGTCACGGTAAAGCTAAATTTTCAGCAGCCATTACTCCAGTTTTCAGTGTCACATGATACTTCAGAAATCATTCTTTTATGCTGATTTGGTGTATATTAATGAAACATTTCTTATGGTAAACAGTTACACTTTCACATTACAGTTCACATTACAGTTACACATTCATATTCTATTAAATATTTAATGCTTAATATTTTTGTGGAAACCCTGATACATTTTTTCAGGATTCTTTGATGAATAGAAAGTTACAGCATTTTTTAAAAATATAAATAGTAATAGTATAGTAGAATAGTAGAAATAGTAAAATGTCTTTACTGTCACTTTGACTAATTGAATGCATCCTTGCTGAATGAAAGTACCAAAAAAATCCTCTTACCGTCAGACTTGTGTTCCCATTTTGTTGTTTGTTTTCCCTGTGTTCCTGCCTCCTGTTTCCTTATGGCCTTATTTGGTAGTTCCTGTTTCCTGTTTTATTAAGTTCCATTTATCTCAGCTGTGTTCTATTAGTTATCCTCATCGCCTGTCTGCCTCTCTTTATCTGCCTATTTAAGTTCTAGTCCGTTCTATTCTCCCTTGTCCGGAATTGTATATGTCAACCTCCCCTGCTACGTGTGTTTTCCTGGTTCCCTGGATGTAATTAAAGTCTCCTTGTTGATGTCTCCTCGTCTCCTTGTTCCTCGTTCCTCGCTCCGTGCTCCCTCACAGTAGCGAACGTGACACTTACTGACCCCAAACTTTTGAGTGGTAATGTAACTTTACACAGATTTTCACACTAAAATCATGTTAACTTTAATTGTGTCTTGTGGCTGTAATATTGAAACGGTGAGTATTTTAACATTTATGTATTGGCCCCATCTACTTTCATTGTACTGTAAGTGCCTCACTGTAATATTTTTATTTTTTATATTTTATTTTATATTTTATATTAAAAAATAAATATATATTAAAATAATATAGTATATAATAATATATTAAAATATAATAAAATATTTTTCTTTACTTTTTATTATTATTATACAGTTTTTTTTTTTTTTGGCCAAGGAACTTCAAAAACGTTTCTCTGCTCCATTTTTGGATAAAATGGGTTTGGAGTATGAAGGAGAAGATTACATTTCTCTATTCAGCACTTTGGAAGGTAGATGAAGACTGGTAGTATTTTGTCTTTTACTGGCCATCCAGGGTATTTTAAAGGGTTTTTTAAAGGTAGACCACAGACCAGTCTTGTGAGTGGGTGCCATGGTCATAAA